AGTCATGTAAAGCCAGCCAGCTAACCATCAACACAAGTGAAAAAAAACTGGAGGCCGAGCCACCAAAACTGAGATTGTGGAACAGCATCTAAATTTGCTTAGACTGTGCTCCTGCTTGTGGGAAATCACTTCCAGTTTCAGCTGGTGTCCCATTGAGAGTGAAGGCAGCTTCGTGTTCAGTCTGGCATCCAGAGCTGCTAGCTTAGAAGATGGTCTGAACTAGTGGTACACAGCACTAGCTGGGTAACAGGAGGAATTGTGTCAAGTTTCTCATGTTGCAGCCTTCTGTAAGGATCTGTTTCTTTATCAACATTGCCTGCCTTCAGTTCATGCACATTTACCGCCTTTTGCAGTCATTACATGCTTGCACAAAGGAAGCTAAAAGGGAACTTAAGCCAGAACCAGAATTAGTCCACTTTTTTCTAGATAAACTCGTAAGTTTCCAGTTATTGGGAGGTGCTAAAATGTAAGATACACCTTATTTTATTGGTGTGTGAACTTGCTCAACCTTATGCTTATTGCTCAGTTTCTTCACGAGCATTTTTGTGATGCCTTTTTTTAGGTGATTTAGATGCATTTTAAAGAAGTTGTGCCTAACTGCTGTGCTTTAATTTAATGTAGAACAAATCAGATTTACTAGAACTGAAAGTGAAAACCATCCTTCCTTTTAAAACACTATCTGTACTTTATATCAAGACTCCTTTGCAAACATAAACACAGGTTGAATACCACCCTACTTTGTCCAGCCTAATTGTTTGCTGGCACATTACCCTTGTGAGAGTGTGGCCCAATTCATTTGTATGTCAGAAGACTGCTTTCAAATACCAAATATATTATGACTTTTCCCACCTTCACAGGTCTCAGTTATGAATTCATTAGAAAAATTCTTAGGGAAATGACTGAGAAGAAATGGTACGTAAGTTAAACATCGGTGTTTTTTTTTTTTCATATGGGTTCCTTAGTGTTGCCTTGAAATTGTGTTACTGCCTTAAAATAGTGTTTCCTAAAAATTCTAATAGTGTTGCCTTAAAATAAGGTAGCCTCTTTCCATGCCCAGGCAGCGATGGAGAAGTAAGCTATGACAGTTTAACAGTATGACAGAGGAGCCACTGTTAAGTGACCTGTCCCACCAGACACACTTATCACAGTAGCACTTCAGACTGACACTGGCGGCTACTTCTCCTCAGCTCATACTAATTAGTGCAAACACATTCGCTTCTGGTTATTGAAAACCACCTCCTACATTCTGGCGTAGTGCTCAGTGAGCATTACTCGGACGTTCAGAAGGAAGTTTCACTGGAATAATTGAGCAATGCTGTATTTTGTGCTTTCTGTGCATGTATGATGAGGTACTAATGAGGATGGGTAAAAGCTTTAGAGGTCACAGTGATTTGGGGGGAGCTGTAATATATAGAATTTTGGGGATTCTGTATATTTGTATGCTGTATAATGCAGTGAGTCAATGCGCTCTATAACTTCTTAAAACACAAGAGTTGTGGATCATGTGCTATGAGGTTTTACCTTGAGATGGCTGTCAGGCTTTGCACTCTTTCTTCCCACTGAAGCATCAGAGATGCTAACTGGTAACCAGTGACTCCAGAGAATTTTCAAACCTGCCTAGTAAGCCAGCACAGAAAACTTGCTTAAGAGGAAAACATTGTAATGTAAGTGCTTTGCCTGATTTTCCACAAGTACTTTCTGGTGAGGAATCTTCTCAGGAGTAAAGGGGATTTCTTAAACTGCTAGGCCAGTGGAATTTTTTATCAATGAGATCACTACAGCTTTAGACAGAGTGCTGCATCTGTGGAGCACAACACAGCTTCTGAGGTCCACGGGAACCTCAGTGGAAAAGAATCTGGACTTGACGTTACCCACTGATACTAAATATAACCTTCTGGTAAACATTAAATCTTCAAGGGCTTTGTGGCTGATGATCATGGTAAACTCCAGCACATCCAGTGAGTGGGTGGGGTGGAAAATATAAACATGAAAGGAAACTTAGGGGGATGGGGAAGGGTTTGCAGGCTGGCAGAGAGAATTGCAGACATCTTGGTGACCAGTGTTATCTGCCTGGTTCAAGGTTGTTTTTGTTAATAAAGATGAAGCATTCCAAAGGTTAAGCTAGCCTAACTTGCTGGCATACAAAATACAAGACACTATGGATCACTCTAGCACATACAGCTTCACTCTAAAACACTTTAGTCCAAGCAATGACCTAAGGAAAAAAGGAAGATGCTGCCTCCTTTGTTGTTCTAGCTTTGCTTCTGTTAGAAATGGGTTAATTAGCATCCTATACACTGCTGTCTGGCCACTTGAGCACTGAAATTGAGCTAGAACAATTGAAAGAATTCATATGAAACACCAAACAGCCCGAAAATAATGCCAGCTTTCAGTTTGTATGAATGTGGACTAGATTTAACTGAATAACACTTGAAAGTGTTGCCACGCCGCGCCGTAACATCAGTGATATTGCTTGCTCTTCTTCCAGACATGAAGAGCAAAGCCTTTAATTTGTGAGCACAGTGGCTGACAAAAGCAAGCAAGTTTCTAAAGCTGTTCATAAACTACACTGTACAAATACCTCCAGCACTATCATTGGTATCTTCTAGCCTGCAGTACTTCAATTTGCCCCTAAATACCAGCTGGTCTAGTCCTACAGCACATGGAAAATTTTCACTCCATAGCAGAAGCTTTTGGTTGGTGCTTAGTAATCAGATTTGGGAGTTACTAGGGCAGCTGCTTAAAGTACATTTCACATTCTACTGGAGTGCTTGATCCACTGTCTGGTGGTGTGGCTAGCCACTATCCTACGCACGTGACAGATGGGTAGACCAATGTGTACATGTTTAGCTAGGTAAATTTTTGGTCGCTGAAAAGCAGAGGAGACCCAAGGCCCATGTTCTAAACCAGTAGAACCCCATTATGTGTTTTGGAGTTCAACCAGTCTGTAAGTCACTGCATATTGTTAGCTTTTCCAAGCCTGTCACAGCTTACTTTAAGAAAAATAAATAAAAACAGCACAAACACCTTGGGAAACACTAAAGACAAGTAAGAGGTGTTAAAGCCTTTAAAACTGAATCCAAACAGGGACAGACCTGTTGCCAGTGAGGAAGAAGACTTGGCAGCTTAGTTTAAAGCTTCCCACACAGACACTGGAGACACAAAAAAGGCACCACAAAGAAGCTCTAGTTCCTGAGGGTCCTGCCACTCCCTGGGCAAAACCAGTCCTTTTCCTGCTTTTCCTCTAGCTCTCATGCACATGTTCTCCTTCTCTCTCTGTGCCATTAGTTACAGCAATAATTAATTAAGCCTTACAGACCTGAAAAAAAAAATAATACAGGAAATGAAGAGTTAAAAAAAAAACAACCCACACAACTGCGAGAACCTGGAGGCAAGCCAGCGTCCCCAAATGACTCTGCTCAGTGGCAGCCCGGAGCGCTGCTCCCCCTACTCTGCTCCTCTCCCTGCAGGGCGGGCATGGCCCAGCCCTCCTCTTTAATCGGGGAGTTCCCCTAGGTATCCAGTTGGTTTGAGAACCCAGTAACGTTGCTGAGTTTATTCTTCACTTCTAGGGCAATGGCAAAGGCCAGAAATGAGAGCAAAAGAACTAAAAATAATGGAGACAATTCCATGCAAACACCTTTTCTGTCTAACTCCAAACAGGCAGAGAACAGTTGCACAGTGCAAAGCAGGGCAAGCTGCCCGGGGTGCCAGGAACACGCTGTTCCTTTGGCTGTGCTGCACAGGGAATTGTCCGTCCATATGCTCTCACTTGATGGGTCTTTATTCTCTCCCACAGAGCAAAACACATCCTCAGTTTAGCGTGGCTCTTGTTTTATACCAAGAAGGCAGCAGGAAAAGCTAGGTATACATGTAGAGGTCTGGTTGTGTGGGTGGGGCTGCCACTTCTAATTTATAATGGTTCAGGAGGTGTCTATCGTGTGGTTCTGATCTTTTTCTGAACATCAGAAGTAAACTGATCACAGACTTTAGTAAACTAATTTGTCTGAATAACTCAGTGGAACAGCTTGCACGAGCCTGCCTTCATCTGTGTGGTGCCTTGCCATAAGTGCTTTGCCCAGATCTCCAGCAGAGATTAATCTCCCCAGTTTCTGGTGCTCCCCATGTGAAGCAGGCCATCCTGCTCCCCACCACTAGGCAGAGGTGTGAAGTATGGCATATCACAGGGCCCTTTTCAAGATAGTATTCCTAAGTGTTTCAATAGCTTCCATGGTGCTTGCAAGGCTTCAACTTTTTGTGTGAGCGTGACTCATACAGCAGCAACAAAGAAGGGGTCAAATTCACCAAGAAGTGAATGCTGGTCAGAAAAAGTTAGCGTTAGCGTTCAAATGTTTTGTTGTTGTTGCTACTGAAATCAGCCCTCAAAAGCTTTTTTGAGGCCGCCCATGTCCCTCTGCGCTTATGTTCAGTATCTCCTTGTGACTCATGTTTAGCCTTTCAACTGCCTTCTTGCCTGCTCTAGTTTCACAAAAATGCCTGCTAAAGAAAGAAACAAACACAGCCGTTTGGATGCCTCTAGAACATTTAATTTTAAAGTATTAAGGGTATTGATTCTTGTATGGGAAGCAATAAACAGGTATAAAGGCAGCGATGGGAGCACAAGGCAGAAAAAAGTAGGTGGGGGAGGGTAAGAAGCTTTGGAAAGGGAAGTAGAAGATGCACCGAAGAAGGCAGCTAGCAACTAAAAATTACAGCTTGGTAGGATCCACACAGACGACAAACGCTCCGTTCTCTGTGATATTAGGTAATAAAAAGGGCAACATGGCTTTGAACCAATGCCCAGTAAGGAGGGTTTATTCCCAGAGGACTTTTTTTTTTTTTTCTTTTTTTTTTTTTTCGGTTGGTTAGTTTTTCCTAGCGTGAGTTCTGAAAGGTGAAAACATAACGGTGGCCAAATACAAGTTTTTTTGTTTGTTTTCCAACATTCATTTTGATTACCAAGCTGTAACAAATAAATCTCTGGCTGGATTGCAACTAACCTGTGTGGGTCCTTAGATGAGCTTTAAGATGGGAAGATTTGCCATAAACTTTTTCACACCCCACATAGTGGCATTTGTGCTTTTTCTGGGGTGATCCAGGGTCAGTCCAGCTTCTCCCGCGTTTGTTCTTTTGTCTTGGGCTTGGCTCAGTTACTGCAGCCAGGCTAGTAGGTGTGGTTGCTTTTCCTCCTCCACGCTTACTAGCCGAAGACACACTTTCTTCCCCAAACTCCTTAGGAGTGATAGAAATGTGTATTTTTTCTGTGATATCAAAGGTCTCTGTTTTTTCCCTTTTGAAAGCGGGTGAGTTTGGGACGTGCTGGTTCAGATCTGCTAAAATGCTGGCTACCACCATCAGCGACGATCCATTGTCCTTCCCAGTCTCTCTGACTTCCCACTTCTCCTCTCCATTCGACGAAGGACACATTGTGACATCAGGCTGGGGATCAGTCTCCCCTTTGGGACTATGGATAATAGCACGACTGGACATAGAAACAAGGCATTCTGCTGCAAAATGATCCACGTATGCTGCCGTTGCCATTTTTCATAAGTTCAAAAAGAAATCCAAACAGAAGAGGTGAGAAAAAGGCACTTTTCCTTCTGTTAAAAAAAAAAAAAGGTTATGCAAGCAGACCCTTCCTTATTTCTGAAGATCTCTGTGGAGAAGTCCAGCCTGACCTAGCAGCCATCAAAAACGCACCCTGTTCGTGACGATCACGCCCAGCTTGTCCTTAGATCAAAAAAGCGCTGAAGTCCAATGGAAGAAGGAAAAGACGAGCAGATAGATCCCGGCACCGGCAGCCTGTTGCTTGGAGCGTGAATTAATGCTGCGTTTTCGAGCGCGTCACACGATAACGACGCGGCTTCCCCAGCCCCTGCATGGCGCGGTGACAGCGGAATAAGCTCTCCCCGTTATCGCTGCTCGGAGCGGCCCGGACCCCTGCGGGGCGTGGTCTGGGGAAACATCTGGCCCTGACGTCACCGCGAGGCCACATCCTGCGCCGATCAGGTTGGCGGCGCGCGGGGCCGAGCGCTCGGCGGCGCGCGGGCAGGGCAGGGCCGGGCGGCCGCCGCCCGCGGATGAAAGGAAGCGCCCGATTGGCTGCTGGTGCGCCGCGTGCCTCGAGCGACGGCCCGCCGCGGGAGCGTGCGGCAACCTCCGCCCTGCGCTGCGCGGGGGCGTCCGGCGGCGGGCGGGAAGGAGCGGGCAGCGCCCGGCAGGCAGCCGCCCTCGGGAGCCGGATGTTGGCGGGTCGGGGTGCGCCCTGCTACGGCTTGAGCTGTAAGGGGCGATTTTACGTGCGCCGGGCTTCACCGTTGTGAAGTTGGAAGTGATGGAAGTGCCAGAAAAAAGGAGGGAGGTTGCACCGTTCGGGCTGCTGCCATGCAGATGGAGTTCGAGCGGGGACTGTAATGTGTTGCGACAGGTTTAACTGACTTGCACGGAATACACAGTACAAATCACCATCCTTTCTGTCAAAGCCCTCCTTGCTGTAGCACTGTGCTGCCTCTCAATTATTTAAAAGTTGCTTTATTATTATTATTTATTATTATTATTACTATTATTATTATTCCCACCTCACAGAGGATGGCACAGCCAGTTTATAAAGATTAATGCTTGAATGAATAAATGGGCTGTGTGTGTAACTAACTAAAAAACTATATCTGAATTCAGAGCTGAGGGCTGTCAGTTTGTACTTATCTTTTGTTGGAACATGCTCTCTATAGACTAATGCTTGTGAAATTCTTGCCTGAAGTATAGATGGACCTTTTGTCTGAGACAGAGCCAGTCAGAAATCAGGAGGGCTCCTTTGGAAGCCTTTCTGGATGGAAAGTTTTGGAGTTCGAGGGGGTGTGGGAGGAAGGGAACATCTGTTACAAAAACTTGCATAGTTTTAGTGTTGAGTAAAAAGTTGGTTTCATGCACATGAGAATGCCTCATTCAGGAGCAATTGAATGTGCTACTGCTGTGCTTTATAGAAGCTGTGCTTTAGGTTCTCATGCAGCACTTCCCTCTAGGTCAGGCTCAATGAGTAACCCACGTCTACCACTGTCCTCAGTGTCTGCTCCCTTTATAGTGCATCCTGTGGTGCTCTGCAGGACTTGAGTCACTGCAGCTCAGGGAGGAATAAGGCACGCTGCTGGTGCAGGAGGATGTGGTTTCGTGCTGAACTGAGCCAAATCATTCTGATGCAGGCATGTCATACCGTTTGTTCTGCTGAACATGTCTGTCTACAGGAAATGTTTACACATTTCCGACTAAAAAGGTTGATTTTGGAACTATTTATTCCTAAAGGAAAAAGTAGTTATGAAAAGAAAAAAAAAAAACACATTTTAATAAAGAAAACAATTAATGAAGAGTTTTGAGTTTGAGCTCCTATTCCTCCACAAGGAAGGAGGGCTGCTGAAGTAGACCTGCCTGGCAGCTCTCTAGAATTAGCAGAAGATTCACAGCACAAACCCCCCAGCTCTCCTGCCATGAGGAACATGGGTCATTGTCAGAACAGTGAGGAAAGGACAGAGTTCAGGTCCTACCTGTTTCGCAAGGAATGTTACCAATAAATGGGCAGGTAAAGGGAGGCCTGAACATCCCAGTTGCCATCACCATCATCTCTGTCCCAGCATGCCAGGGTGTTTCTGCTGCACTCCAGTACCTCCATGTCCCTGTCCCACACAGCCCCTCAGACCCTCTCCTATCACCTCCTCACTGCTGCCTCCTCTTGTGCTCTCCACAGCCTATCCCATCTGCATTATCCTTGAAGCAGCAGCTGCCACAAGAGCCTCCTATGGTCAAGAAGGGCCAGTGTAGCCCAGCCCTCATCACAGGAGAGATGCTAGCTGGAGCTCTCCAGATTGTGGCAGCATCAGCTGGTGGCCATTTGGTGCCAGGAGGAGAGACCCCCTGGTGAGCCGGGAGGTGTGATTGGCTGCCCTGCTCCGGGGGGCTCCAGAAGGAGGTGGCAGCAGCCAATCGGGAAAGGCCTTACGTGCTGTGCGCGACTTTCTGCTGTGGAGAAGACTTCGGGCGCCATGTTGGTTTGGAAGCCTCCTTTGCCCAGAGGGCTATCTGGGGCAATATCCTGTGCTCCTTACAGCTCCTGTTCATTGCACGAGCAGATGGAGCACAGCTCACCACGTCCCAGGAGCCTGTGGCCAGAAGAGAGAGGTGCTGCGTGGTGTGACAGCATGATCCTCTGGCAGCAGCCGGATGGTGAGGAGTAATGGCTGAACGCAGCTGCTGGCTGAGGAAGTCCTACCTTTCTTCTTTTAGCAGGTTTGTAGCTTCAAACCTTGTCCTGATAGCTGCTCCTGTTACATAGCAATGGCTGTCTTACAAACTTATTAGCCGTAATGCAGTCTGCAGTGGGCTCTCTGGTAGCTGTGCACGTTGAGGCAGAGCGGCTGCTGTGTGTGGAGCTGCGAGGCTGGCTGCGTGCTCAGGGCAGGCGGAGCAGGAGGTTTGTTTTTGTGAAAAGTTGCCCTTTTTTTTTCTTTTTTTTTTTTCTTTTTTTTTGGATGAACTCTTTGGGTGTGCCTTCCCTCGTTTGGAAAAGAGCAATGTTGTGAAGGTTACTCACAACAGAGAGGCTTTTTAATCCGAGAAGAAACTTAGTCATGTTTGGAAGATGTGTGTAACCAGGGGGTGTGTGTTATTCCCTTGCTAAAGCGGGGCTGTGAATGAAAATGTGGCTCTGACTTGAGGATAGCTGTCAAGAATAGAAAAAATTTCCCTTCTTGAACACTTGATATGAAAGTTGCTGTCTCGTGGTGGGTGCAGGAGCAGGGTGTGGTGTGTTTGTCACATGGATGTGAAAATTCCAGCTGCTCAGTGAACTCGCCTGTAGTTTTTAAGGGCAGGATTACAAATGTTAGATGTTTCTGTGTGAAATAACAGCCTCTGTGCAAGTGGCAGTGGTGAGGAGTCCCTTTTTGTAACACATTTCAGTCATTAGGTCAGTGGTGCAAGAAGGTCTTAAAGTTACCAGCCAGTATAGTCTGCCTGTTTATGAACTCTTTTTTTAAAAAGTTTTTATAATCATAACGTATTTTCCCAGCCATATGTCCATCTTTATTACGTGCTGTGCATTTATTAGAGCAAGTGGAGAAGTGTATCCTAAATACAGCTCTGCTGAATCAGCTGCTGACTTGTTCTTACCAAGTGATCTGAATTTTGAGAAATTTAATGAAAGTACACTCTATCTTCCTCTTTAGTTTTCTTTATTTGATGGTCCTTGATGTGCTTTCAGCTGTCCTGTAGACTGATGTGAGAATTTTTCCCTCTATTATGGTACTGCTTTTCCATGTACTGAAATAATTCAGCCTGGGCTTTGACAAAAAAAAAAAAAAAAAAAACAGGTTTTTTTGGTTGTTATTTTTGTTTTGTTTTGTTTTTTGTTTTTTTATACTTGGTGTTTTCTTAACAAATAAAGTTTTGTTTAGCTACAAATGCATAGGAGCAAAATAATTTTATATCAAATCTGCCCTGTTCTGCCACTCCCCAAATAGCTTATTGTTTCAAATTACAAGAATTAGAAGCTCTGAAATGCTTTGTGAATTTAAACTAGCTTTATGAACTCTGTTAACAGAACTGTAAACAGAATATAAGAAAGGACCTACACGAATGCTAGAACTGCTTTAAATCAGCTCATACTTAATTTTGCATGGCTGAAAAGAAAAGAAAATTAGCTATGGCAAGATATTTTCTATAATGGTATAAGACCTATTACAAGGATGCTATAGCATTGCATGCTTATGAGGGAAGTGGCAGTGAAAGTATGCAAAATGAGTGTGTGGGCAATTTGAAGTGGGAATGTTACAAGTGGGAACAAGTGGGAAAGATGACGAATTTTTTCTGAGAAAAAATTTCCTATTCCCAAGAACAGAAAAGCATCTAAGCATTTGACATTAGAGCAGCAGACATCTGATCAGCGCTTTTCCTTCATTAGTTTACTCAAAAAAAAAAAAAAAAACTGCTTTCATATACTTTGGATCTATTGAGTCCCTTGCAAGAAGTGTAAACCACTGGAGTCCCATAGACTGCAGGGAGTTTGTTGCTTTACACTGCCTCAGGAAGCTGTTCAGGAGACTGGGAAAAGTAGTAAAAGTCATGTAGTCCCTTTTCCCATTTCAGTTCCTACACAGTAGTGATGAGATGAAAAGACCTAGTTTCATTTTATTTTGTCTGCATAAGTAGTTTCCTGTTGGCAAAAAGCAAAACACAAGCCTGGAAGAAACAGGAGAAGAAAAAAAAAAAAAAAAAAAAAAAAAAAAAAAAAGGAACGGATTAAAATAGCAGATTTCTCTAGCTGTGTTCTTGTGGTACCCGAATTCAATTCAGTTGAGTCCATGCGTATTGAAAATTTTCCTGAAGCTGCTTTTTCCAGAATGTTCCGTGTGACTTCCTGAGTAATTTGATGGCTTCTGTTGATGCACAGAAACTTCTTGATACTGTTTTCCTTCATTCCAAAACTGGACAGGTACAGCCTTAATTAGAGACGGCACACAAAATAGCTGAGGACATTATTGGTGTGGCACAGATAATTAACAATTAGGAAAATAAATTATGAAGAAAAAATCACCTAAGAAGGATTTGATTCTTTTGGAAGATGGCATAAAAAGTACTTCTGTATTTTACTAAAGCAATTTATTTTCCCTTGTGTACAGTGGGAAAAGTAGTATGACGTAGATGTAAATAGATTATAGAATTCAGTATCGTGTTTTTAATGTTTGTTTTCATTTACAGTAGCAGACCTTTGTGCCCAGTATGTCTATCACTAGCAATGCAAGAGGTAGGGAAATGAGGTCTTAACTGGACTCCCACTGGATTGAGTGAAGTAATACTACATAAAGTTTATCTATCTTCTAAGTGATAAAAGCTGAGAAACAAAGAGAAGCACAGCTGTCCTTTTCTGTATTGTGGTGTGAAATAATAATCTAGATGTTACAGATGTTCAGCAGTGATGCTGCGTGCATTTAGTGGATTCCTTAGAACTCT